ACACGGATCTCAGTTTCGTTAGCCCAATAGCTAGTTCATCCGAAACCAGCGAAAGTAGTAAACTGGAGAAGAACGCCCAGTCACTCAAAAGATGTGTGACAACAGCGAGCACTAGGTTCAGTCGCCAGCAAAATGTAGTTATAAAAGGAGTACCCGAATCAACGGCAGCAGTACCAAAGGAGAGAGTTAAGCATGACTTAGACCTTCTTCAAGTGTATGCGAACACTTTGTTAAGAGACGATGAGTCACTAAGTGTTCTCAAAGCATTCCGAATAGGGAAGAGTCAGTCAGCATCCGGTTCCAATTCCCGGCCTCGACCCCTAAAAGTCATTTTGGAGACTGAAGCACAGGCCCAGCTTCTGTTACAGAGAAAATCATCTCTACGGGGTCAGCATCCTGAAGTTTTTTTTCAGCCGGACTACGAGCCAAAAGAGCGAATGAAAATGAGAGAGTTGATGACGGAGCTGGAAAAGCGGAGAAACAGCGGCGAAACACACCTAAAAATCTAGAATCGACAAATAATTCAGGTCCAAAGGACATTTCTCTGGCCGAAGGCCGTCATTCTGACAGCCTAACCGATGCAAAGGTGCCAACTCCTGAGGCTGCTCGAACCAGTGGCCGCTGTCTAGAAATCTACTACACTAAATGTCAGAGTCTTCTCAACAAGCTAGATGAACTCAGATTACTAGTTTCTGAACAGAAGCCACACATAATTGTCCTAACAGAGACATGGTTGACTGAGGAAATTAGTAGTAGCGAAGTCAGAATTGAAGGCTACCAACTGTTCCGTTGTGACAGATTTCACCGTAGAGGTGGAGGCACAGCTATTTATGTGTCAAATGAAATTGCGTGCTGTCAACGAGAAATATCCGATGGTGCGCCCCGAAATTTTGAAATAATTTCATGCAAGATATGCATCAAACACTTACCGACACTAAACCTGTGTGTTGTCTATAGGCCTCCCAGCTCGAATGAAATCGCCGATATGGAATTACTTAGTGTACTGGAGTTGTTATGTAAGCAGGAGAACTTACTACTTCTGGGTGACTTCAACGCTCCAGGAATAGACTGGAACATTCCCCTAACAAACGCCCCGTCCACGTCATTTGACCACAAGCTACTACAACTCTCCCTGAATGAATACTTCATTCAGCACATAAAATTCGGAACAAGAATGAGAGAAGGACAACGATCTAACTGTTTAGATCTCGTTTTCAGTAAAGAAGAAGGACTCATAAAGGAAGTTAATCCACAACCTCCACTCGGTTTAAGCGATCATATTGCTTTTACCTGCGTGTGCTCTCTCCTATCCAAACAACAACCAAAAATCAAGAAGCGCAGAAATATTTGGAAGGGTGAGTTTAACGCAATGAGGCGCACTCTCTTTGAGGAAACCTGGTTGGTCAACACAAAAGATTCAGACGAATTTTGGCAATACTTTCGCAGGATTATAGAGCGTCTGATTGATTCCCATTGCCCAATAAAAATGACAAGACAATGCTCTCGACCGCCGTGGATCAATCAGGCGACAAAAAAGACTATGAAGAAGAAACAGAGACTGTGGAAATAGTATTTGCAACTTCGAGATCCAAGGTCATTCGCCGAATATAAGGATCAGCGCAATAAATGCCGCAAACAAATGCGGATTGTTAGAACTTCTTTCGAGCGCCGACTGATAGCAGAATTCATTACATGTCCCAAGGAGTTTTACGCGTACATCCGCAGTAGGAGGAAACATAGGGACGAAATTGCGGGTCTAAAGGATAGCCTCGGAGACTTATTAGTTGAAGGGTCACAGAAAGTGCGATTACTGTCTCATTTTTTTCAATCGGTTTTTACGGAGGAGTCCTTAGAAGACAACCAGCAGTTTGAAATGGACCGAGACAGCCGGGAGCTTCAAATGCGCCAAAATATTGCCGTCATTAAAACCGTCGCCTTTTCCGTGGAAGAAGTCAGACGCGTCCTCAGTCAAATAAAACCCGATAAGTCTCCTGGACCCGGCGGCATTCCCGGGCTGATACTTAAGGAGCTATCAAGGGAGCTGTCAAAGCCTCTTTCGACTCTCTTTGAGCTGTCATTGAGAACAGGAAGGCTGCCCTCACAGTGGAAGACAGCTAACCTCGTTCCATTGCACAAGGGAGGTAGCAGGATGACAGCAAGCAGCTTTCGACCTATTAGCTTAACTTGCCTCCCTTGTAAAACGATGGAAGCTATAGTAAAGAACGCTATACAGCAATTTTGTGAAGAAAATAACATCTTACAGGATTTTCAACATGGCTTCAGGAGAGGACGTTCCTGCCTCTCAAATCTGCTAGCTTGTCTGGAAATCTGGACCAGGGCTCTAGAAGAGGGTTTTGAGGTCGATGTCGTGTACATCGATTTCCGCAAAGCTTTTGACACTGTCCCACACCAACGTCTTCTTCACAAATTGAGCGACATCGGCATCTGGGGAGATCTTCTGAACTGGATTAGGGCGTTTCTGGTTGGTCGGAAACAACGTGTCTGTATCGGGGATGATATGTCAGAATGGGTGAATGTGACCAGTGGTGTGCCGCAAGGCTCAGTTCTGGGACCATTGCTCTTCATCCTTTACGTTAACGACAGCCTTCAGGAACTCGACTGCGGCAAAATAATGTTTGCAGACGATGTTAAGCTCTGGCAAATCATTAAGGGTCCGAATGATCAGAGATCCCTTCAAGATAATCTGCACCGACTGCAAGCGTGGTCGAAGAAATGGCTTCTAGATTTCAATGTGGAGAAGTGTGCCGTCCTTCATCTGCGTCCAACCAACTCTCATTCAAATGAGAGCCTGAGGACTTATCGCCTGAAAGCTATAAGGCTCCCTGCAGAATCTTCGCTGAAGGATCTCGGAGTTTGGATACAGAACAACCTGAAACCAACACTGCAGTGTCACAAGGCTGCAAAAAACGCCAGGGGAGTGCTGCATGCAATAAAAAGGGCTTTCGTAAACTTTGACCAAGACCTTTTTGGGAGAGTTTACGGCACTTTTGTTCGGCCCCACTTAGAATATGGCATACAAGCATGGCGGTCATGGCTAGAAAAGGACCAAGCATGCCTCGAACGGGTACAACGGCGTGCAACAAAGCTGGTAAACGGTTTAAAAAGCCAATCATACACAAACAGACTGAATTGCCTTAATTTAATCCCTGTGTGTTACAGGCAGCAAAGAGGTGATCTTATCCTCGTCTACAAGATAATACATGGCCTTGAGTATGGACTTAAATTTGAGGACATGTTTCAGTGGCACATTTCACCCAATCTTCGTGGTCACTCGATGAAGTTACGGACAACAATGTCCAGGCTGAATCTTCGTTCTGAGTTTTTCACGCAGAGGGTAGTGGAGAAATGGAACGATCTCCCTCAGTCAGTCGTGGAGGCTACATCCCTGCAACTCTTCAAGAAACGCTTGGATGATTTATTTGTGTCCCCTGTTTTCCCTCGACGGTCTGAATCTGAACTAATACCCCTGGTCCCCACAAATATGTCCTCTGAGACAATGCTACTCAAATGAACCAAGTACTGTTTTTATTGTGAATATTTTTTGTTCGTGTACAGTTATTTCTAACGAGCTGACATGTAATCAATAGGGTTTTCAAAGGCTTTGCCTATTATCCTTACCAAATAAACTGAAATCAATATTATGTGTTTGTTACGGAAGATTTGTCTTATCTCACTGACCTTTCCTTGTCCTGGGTGTGTGTATGCGAGGGCAGTATGGAGATATATTTGGTTTGGTACTTTCAGTTTGCATCTAAGGCTCTCGCAATCAGTGTTTCTTTTTGGTTAGGATCCATCTACGTAGGTAATGCCACCTGGTATGGACATTGCGGCTCCCCCACCCTACGTTTATTTAGATTCGTGCGCATAAGCTGAAACCATTCAGCATGACTTTGGCGTCTGTAAACTGCTCAGTTAGGCATGTTTCAGTCAGGGCTATAAGGTCATATCTCAAATGAACAACGGTCAATTTGATTTCATGTGTTTTGTTGAACAGACTCTGCACACTGTTGTACGTTATTATCTTACTTTTTATTCTCTTGATCTCTGGAAAGTATTTGTTGGTTCTTGCGCCTGACAACTATTGGTATGAATTTGCGTGATGTATCCAGTTCGCTGTCTGGGTTAAAATCCATAAATCCTTAATAAAACTCGTGACCGGTATGGTTACCGTCAATTTCACCGGATGATTCTATTGTGACATGCGCTCCCTTTTTGTGTTTTCGTTTCTGCTACTTTCAGATTTGTTTCTCTCTCCGGAGCCTTTTCAGTTTTGTCACCGGTGTCCGCTACTTTATTCGGTCGAGGGGAGAGTTATCTGGCTGAAGTCAGACTTCAAGCAGTTGTTCCGTAGCCTGGACTATGGAGACAAGATTAGACCTGCTTAATGTTTACTTTCCTAGAGACATTTGACGGTCATAGTCACATCTCTTCTGCATTATTTTTAAGCTAGAGGCCCCAAAGGAATTACCATTTGGAATGCGAACATCTATCCAGACGACATGTGCAAAAGTGTATCGATTATGCTCTAGATGGCAGAAAAAATAGTTAAGAAGGTAAACCTCACTGCACCCTTCAGCACATTGTAAGTTGTGAATGCCGATCTCTATCACAGTATAAAAGAGCATTATTTTCTATATATAGTTTACCTCAGGCCGTGATACACAGCCCATCTTGTATCTAGGATTTTTTTTAGTTTTGATTCAGTAAGAAGTCGACAATCATCCTGTTTCCTACAGTAGATAGGTGCGGTATGGACATCCTCTAACGGTCAAAGGACGATTTTGATCATTTAAAGTGACTCGATATTGATGTTTATGTCTGCTCAAGACGTTCATTCGCAGTGGAAGAAGATTCGTAACTGAGTCGTCAGGGGAACACGAAAATTTCGCAAGACTGGTGAACTTTCCGAATTCGTTTTAGTATGCTCAGTTTAGGGCGTAAAAGGCAAAGCGGGATCTGTCCGCCGTCACACCTGGACGATGTCTTCTAATTTTCGCATTTTTGCGTACTCCGTTGGGGCCTCTTTTATCTTCTACCACTGTCATTCCTTACTTGGAACCGTTGTTTATGTATGATCGCTTAAACTTTGAGGTGACCGTGAAATAGTGTGAAGGCATTAGCATGGAGCCAACCATCCAAAATGGGGACTATCTACTTGTTGAGCGAGTTTCCCTATATCGAAGAAAAATCAGAACGTATGTCTCCCGTATTTGAATCAGTTTTGCAGGGGTGACATCGTCGTTGCTAAACAACCTCGTAGCCCTCAAAATTTCTGCCACATTCTCAAACGAGTAAGAGCTCTACAAGGAGATGTTGTGGAATACTTCAACCCGCGTCTTTCGAAATCGGTCAGGGAATTTGTAAGTCTCCATTTTAGTCGGGTTTGTGCCCTCCAATTGTCTATGCCTAGTTTCACAATGGTCCTGGGCACTTTGACCTCGATGTTTGGCGATTTAACGTAACCATATGTGCAGGTGGTATGCTACTATTTCATTTGGCGGCTTGATTTGAAGAATGTGAACCTCTAGTCCATTTCACAATTAACTCTGAATGTGTTCTCCGTCAGTAACCGCTGATTTAGGGCTCGTTAACAAATTTGCGCCCCACGTCTAAAACTGGCCTGTCGTTGAATTTCAGCTCTTGCGAACTCCATGCCACCTCCATGAAATTACGTGTAACTGATAGGGTTGCAAACACGAGCTGGTACCCTGGTTTGCCGAAACCGCCCTGCATGCTTTTTAACGATTCCCAAGTCTCCCATGTATTCTTACGTATCCTCAGTTCACATCTGCACCTCGGCCTTCGTTTTTTTTCCCATAACCTAGTGCGGGAAGCTACAGTAAAAGCTCGAGAGTACTCACGCTGTCGTACCATTATCTACTAGAGTGGTTTGGACTCATTTTAGGAGGTAGTGAACCATACCTTTCTGACTATCCGAAATTCTGAACAGTCTTCTATTTCGTTTTTAAGTGGACATCGGGATTTTTTTAAGCTTGCTTGTCCAAGCCGCTCCAGGGACGACCGCTTTGATATTATTTATGCCGACTATCTCGTTTGTGGCGTTGACTGCATCATGGCATATCCCATTAGTTCATCCACCCTTCAGCCCCGTAGTAGACGTTTTTAGCGCTGAGGAAGCCAAAAGACCTGTCGATACATTCGAATTGGTAGTAGTTAAAATGTTAGCATTTCGTTGCTTCCGAAGGGACGTTTAGTTGTCGATTCTCACGATTGATGCACACACAAGATTTTATCTTCGTAGTCGACATTCGGCAACCGAGAAGTCATAAACTCGTTTGGTATGCGCTGCTGCAGCAATTGAGATATTAACCACTGTGCCACGTCTGGCCATCTTGAACTACCGGTATTTATGAAGGATCGGCCACGTGAATTGTCATGACCATGTAGGCAGTTTAGTAGTGCACCCAAACTTGCAGTTTAAATCGCTCATTGGCTGAACCTATACTGGTTAGGACGCGTTTTCTTGCGCCAAAGGGCCGTTTGAAGCCAATGGATTAGAAACAGATTCTGGAAACCAGACCACAAAGCAATTAACTCACGAAAAGCGCCACCGCATTACTGAATGAGATCGGACAAAGCCCAAACTCTCTGTGTGCTATCTAGCCGTCCATTTGCCGGTTCAGCCTTTTTGCGTGACACTGCCCTAGTAAGCATTCGGATCGCGTTTATGCCCTATCGTTACCTAAGTGTCAGCTGGGAGCGACCAGCGGACTCCGAGGCGCGCAACCGACAATGAAGACTTGGTAAGTTAACGAATACTGAGGGACTCCATTTCGACGAACGTGTTTTTGATTATTCATCACCAGGCCGGTAGAGTAATATAGGCAAGTTTTGATAGTCAGCGAAAATTCGAAACAGTCAATATACAGTAATCATGGTGACGGGTTGTGGGCGTTAAGACGGGCCGTCCTCAGCCCTCTCGCTCGTGAAAATTGTCCACAGCCTGTTTCCAACTTTTGCTGCTCCACCATACCTTACTCATGTTATTATTACCGTACAGACCTGGTGACAAATAATCGGTGACGTGCTTTCGTGGGACTTGGCTTCCTCAATGTTTCCATGAGTATCACTGCAGAACTAGAAAGATATTCTGGACGTTCCTATTCGGAGCGCCAAATAGATACCAGTTTTGAAGGGCCAGCGCTGCAATGTAAACCATCACGTGCATTGTTCCGCGATTCTGTGAATGCTATGCCGACTTTGGTAGTATCGTATCCCTCCTGGGGGCTGGCAGACAGTCATGTGCACTATTCAACTGCTGTCCTCTGGACAGCCTAAGGATTTTACGAACGTAGTCGGAAAAGTTGCACGGATGGAAGACTTGAACCATACAAACAGGGGACGCGTACGTTAACTGGTCTCACACTAGCACCGGACTGAGTGGAAATCGGATTCTCAACGCGTGACTAGGTACCACAGCACGAGATCGGTATCCCACTGGAATGTCCGAACCCGAACCTTCATGGTCGACAGTTCTTCGGCGCTGGTCGAGATAAAAACTAGCCTCGGCCCTATGAAGTGTTTCGTTGCAGAACCTAAATTCTATCAGGATTGAAGTGTTACCCATCGCTACTTCTCCCACTCAATTGAGTGACCGCGGGAGGGACCCAATCATCAGAAAAAAGACGAATCGTCCGTAGTCCGAACTTGTCATGCGGACTAGGTGCCTGCTCCAACGGCCAAGCTCCCTCCTCCGAGGCCTAACTCTACAAAATTGTTTAGTTTGACCACAGGCCGGAACATGACTAGTCGGTGTTAATCGTAGTCCACCTCTTGCATGTCACCGTCTTTCTTACTTTCCTGATTCTGCTACTTGACTGATTTATTGGGCTGTTCGCACCATTGCCGCCCTCTTATTCATCTGCTCAGGCGTTCGCTCAACTAGACCCAATATTCTGACCCACCGTTACTGTCCAAATTCTTCGTCATAACACTTAAGATTCCCGAGGAGCACATTTGGCTGGAGGGTGATAACCAGAATCATTCATTGGACTCGCGCGTTTACGGACCCGTGCCCTTTTCACGCCTCGAATACAAGGTTTTGTGCCGCCTATGGCCCCCCAGCTCCTTCGGGAAAGTTTGCGGACCGGAAGGGATCGCGCCACTCAAGTCAACGCCGGATAATTGAAGGCAATCAGATACCCTGCACAAACATTACATTACTTTCATTGATGTCCTACCATGTATGTATATCATTTCCTCAGGTTTATCATGATTTATGCCCCAATACCTATCGTAAATCTTCTACCCGTCTTGTGAAAGCCAATGGCACTTCGCCACTTTTCCGTCAACCATTATGCCTGACCTAGCCGCATGCGAAAACTGAACACACGCAATCACTGCAACTGCCCAGAGAGGATCTAGAGCACAGTTTAACACAGCCAGTACCTGCCTGTTTTCAATAAACAAGACATCAAGGAGAGGAAGGAAAATGTTAAGGAAATCGGAAGTTGCTCCAGGTCGAAATTGCTGTGGGTGTTGATTGGACCAGAAAGAGGCAGTTTGGTTACACGGGTCACGAGGAGTAGCATAAGGATCACGGCAAGCCAGAACTGTGGAGTAGCCAGCCGACTCTATCGCGGGGTATTAGCCGAAGATTACTGCCGTGCTTTAAAAAGACTTCACCTAGAGGACGAAAAACCTATTTAGCATATACGTTTGTAAACAGTCATGTGCGAAATTCCGTCAGGCTGTTAGAGGGAGTTCCACAGCCCAGAAGCAGAGGCATGCAGGTGGCACACATTCCGGAAGTTGTGTACCAGTGCGAAATACGATAGTTGCAGCGGATGGTCAAGAATGCGTGGGTAAAGTTGTGTGGAATCTGATCCATGTCAGAAGTATTAACAGTGACGCAGTTATTACTGTGCACAAAGCCCCTAGCAGGGATGTCTTATCGTAAGAATCAAAATGTTAAATGAAAAATCAATTCCACCCACTTCAAATGGAAAGTTCCAAAAATAAACGTCTCATGCAGATGCCATAAGGATGTGCTCGGTGAAAAACCGTCGGGAGAGATCCGTTTGTCTTTGTCTGAGGACCTGTGGTTCCGCAAGACCCAACACACTCTTCTAGAGGTGGGCGGGGACTGGCGTGCCACACGGCTTTGGGGTCTAAAAGTTGCCAATGGGAGACGACGGTCGCGTACATACATGGACTGCTCAAGGTGACGTAGGCACCACCTAAAACAGGCACTACCCAGGGGCCCTGGCACGTGTTCCCTCGATTTTCTGCCGCCAAAGCATAACGGGACCATAGAGACGTTAGCCTGTCAGTGAGCTCCTGGCCTGTGCCTTAATTTTGAGGGAAGGCTCTCAGACGACTTCTCAGGTTTGATCATAAAGCCTGTGTGGACATTAATGGCACGCTCCCAAACTCTGTGGAATGGCCGTGTAATGTTTGGATTTCACGGATGAGCCACAAGTAGTGCACACAAAAGAACCCAATAAGATAGTTACTGAAAGCCCTGTGCAGAAGTTTCGCGATTTCATTTCACTGCATGACTCAGCTTCGGGGCCCTGCTCATTATTGGATTCTCAGTGGTTTTAGCACGTATTCCAGTTCACTATATAAATCTTAAAGTGATGAACTGAACCAGTAGTTATGTCGTGCGACGAGAGAATTGGTGACACGACTGTTTGTGTACACACAATATGATGCGTGGATCCGTTTGCGTAGTCTGAACAGTAAGCGCCAGTTTCGTAAAGTTGACCGCTTAAGCGTTTATATAGTTTCGAGATCGAAATGAAGGACCACTTTCAGATACAAGCAAGATGCGAGTTCCAGGAACTAGTTAATAAGACTCCAGTGATCGCTTCGTCTTCTGGACTACTTTCAGTTTGTCATTTGATTTCTCGAAAACCACAAGTCTCCCTTAAACACCGAGGCAGATACCTCAAGCCTGGTACCTAGGGATTATCACACCAACCATTTAGACTGACCAGCAATACAGAGAAGGTGGTCATACTCGTAACTACGGCCAAATTTGCGTACCTCGAAAGCTGAATTCCACGGAATGTTAAAATCGACTATACATTTGTCCACCGAATTCCGAACTTTCGTTAATAAATAGTTTTTAGCAG